TTCTCCTTGACTCAACCTGGTCAATTCCTCGAAGCTCTTTGAAAATCCCGTTCAGGGTTCGGTTCGTCTGGACTGGTCGTCGGTTTCGACGAACTGTAGGGCCCGGTAGATCCGTCGTTGTTTTTGGTGTTACGCGGCAAGTCGTCTGCACGACGTGGCTGCGTAGCCATTGCACAACGTGTCTTTAGATTGGGATCGCGCATGGTGATTATTTGGCTGCCGTCGGCCGCGTTCTTGATATTGCTTTCAGTCGCGATATCAAACGGTCTGCCGAGCAACACCGTATAAGCTGGACTTTCCAAAATGTGCACTTGCAGGTAGACCAGGATGGTCCCAAACCTGAAGGGTACATTTCTCGCTAATCCCAGTGACTTAGAGATAGATCCATTTGCACTTTCCATATAGATGACGACTTTTGGGTCCCAGCTCAATTGTGCGTCGACGGCCTCTGAGAAAGCCATCGATACAATCTGAGATCCACTGTCTAGGATGCAGTCCGCGTCGAGACGCGCGTTAATCCGTCCGTTTATCGTTCTGAGAGCAGCCGACGAATCACCAACATAGACATGTCTTGGGTTCTCATTAGAGGGTATCGACTCCAAGTACATCTCATATGGATCCGTCGCGACAACTGCGCCAATGGGAATTTCTCCTTCAACTGTGTTATGATAGAACACAGGTTCGGGCAATTCCTTAGCACTGACTAGGTTGTAGCTCAGTTCTCCATCCCAAACGTCTTCAACGACGCGACCAGTTTCTTGAAGCATGGACTTCTGAACCGGTACTCGTTTCTTCGAAGAGTCCTTCAGAATGGAGTCGCGGACAGTCCCCGAAACTGCTAGGAGTTCACCCACAGTGACGTCGACTGACGCGTTTTTCATTTTGTCGTAGACTGCTTCTGCCACAGCCTTCTTTTGAATCGGTGCACGCAACTGGTATTTATCTGGAACGCGCGCTTTTGAAGAATGTACTGGTTCTTGTAGAACGGGCTTGACTTTCTCAAACGGTAGTTCCTTTCTCTTTTCGGTGTTGTCGCGCACTGATTCCTCATCATTGTCGCTATCACTAACTTCCTCAATAATCACAGGTTTCCTCGGTTTCTCTCGTCGCTCAGCTCGTTTATCATGGTCCTCAGAGGGCTTGGCTGAGTTTGTGGGTTTAGCCCCCTTCCTTGAACCATTTAGAAACCCGAGTTGTTATCGTTGCGCTCAGGTTGGCTATTCGCACCACGACGGGTTTGAATGAACTGCTCCTGAGTCTGAGGATAACCACTGTTCATGTTGTTGAAGTAGCCGGCCATGGCGTCGGTCATGGCTTTCTGCATGAATTGGCCCATGGCACTTTCCATTGCATTACTGGTAGAACCAGATGCAGCTCTTTGAGTCTTTGACTCAGCGCGACTCTCTGGGGTTGGCCGCGACGACTTCCTCTCATATTGGATGAGTTGACTTCGAAGGGAGCGTATCTCATCTGCCACTTCTTCAGGGTAGTCGGACATATCATCATTGTCGCGACTATCGAACTGGTCCAAGTAGTAGGAGTCTTGGAAGTTGACGGACTTGCCCTTCTTCTTCCAATAAGCCTCTACTCGTTGCCCCTGAGTCCCTTCTCCATTTGGTAAGAAGCTGTCGTCGAAGAGCCTCCACATCCCTTTGGTGTCGACTTTGAGAAGGTTTTTCTCAATGTGAGACCTCTTGAGCGGGCACTCGTTCGACCAGTGACCAGTTTGTCCGCAGTAGCGACAGTCGTCGTTCCGTGCGGCAGCTCCTCCTTGTGCGCGACTTTCAAAGTGGGGCACAGAAGAGTTGTTGCCTACTGGCCGCGACCGCTGTATAGGCGCTTCGCGAGCAGTCTGTACGAACGTCTTCAGCGCTTCCTGCAACTGAGTCTGTAACTCTTTTTGGTGTAGAAGAAATGAGTCCTTCAAGTTGGAAATCGAGTTTTCCAACTCCTCAACCTTAGCATGGTTGGGTGGACTAGTCTCATAGTCGAAGCGAACCTTGGGAGGTCGCGCGATTATGGGAATTTCGTCTTCGTTGCTCAACGTCGACGCCATTTCTTCCGCCATCGTCATTAATTCTTTCAGCTGGATGGGGTCGTCCTGCCGATTGACTCCAGTCGTGGGGACATTAGCGTTTGCTATCCCGGCGCGAGTTTGATAGCGCTTATTGAATACTTGACTCGTAGCCAAAGCGTTCCTCAAGACGGTACTGAACTCAGAGTCCAAAGTACGCATGTAGCGTTCACACGCGACTTTGTTGGTAATAATGGCAGGAGGGACTGACAGTCGCTTGTAGTGACTATACATTTGAAGGCCGAAACGCTTCAAATCTCCTTCATCCGTTATTTTGATTCCACGGTTCTCGCGACAGAGTCTATCTAGATCCGCCATGGTCCCCGTTTTTCGCTTGGACACCTCAGGGTATCCTTTTAATATTTCGGCCTCGAACTCCGCGACAGTTTTCGTGTCGTCGGAATAGGTATCGAGACCTTCCCATACGTCCATTACTTGCCGCGACGGCAGGTAACGAATGTACATGCTTTTTGCTTGTTTGGCATCTGTGATGCCACCATCCTCCACGATCTGCGCGCAGTGACGCAAATATGCCTCAATCGACAGGGGATCCTTTTCATCAAGTATAGGTCTACTTGTGTCCCAAGGTTGGGGGATTTTGAACCCAGTCTTTGGAGCCATAGTTGTCGCGACTGAAGTCACAGGGGAAGTAGGGATGTTGTTAGAATTCGTGTTTGTAGCGGTGACGCTACTAGACAATTCTGAGAGGGTTTGTGAGCTAGTCTGAGATCGACTGATTGTCGTCGAACTCGAAGTAGCCGCGTCTAAAGCTGGAAGCTTCGACGTCGAATTCACTCTTTGTTTTCCTTTTGCCTTGGAAGGCAAGGGTGGTAGATACAAAGGTGTTTTATGTCTTGCAGACCTTCGTGGTTTTTCGAAAGGTCCTGAGGTTGAAGCGTTTCCTTCAGTCTCAATCTCCGCTTGGTCCTCAAGAGGTCGCGCAGGAGCTTGGGATCGGAATAAACTGCTTCGCGGGATAAACCCTTGGTCTCTATCCGACGTCGCGGTAAAGAATCCGGTTTATTGATTTTTAAAGTTTATGAAACTTTAGAAGCCCCTCGCGGTGGGCTCCAGATGAAATGCTGAGGGCGTGCTCACAAGTGAATCTACTATGAAAGTAAACCCAAATATAAACACGTTCACACTCCTCGTAATCAGCTTCTCAGTGTGTGAAAGATGCGAGGGCTTCGGGGTGGACAGAGCACCAGTATCACAACTCTCAATAGACGCAGATCCAATAGTCGCGGAGACGAAGTCGACGACAAGAATTTATATATAGCAAACAATGGTATCTCAACCAATATCTCCTATACGAACACAACCAACACTAATCCAATCCACAACCAACAATATAACAAGTCAGAGCTTAATACGAAGTATTAAGATCCCTTGTAGCGACAGCGTCCAGATGGTGACGCAAAGCCCAAATATCAAGTCGACGCACTGCCAACCGATACAACCAATATACTGAGTCGACGCACTGCCAACTAGTAAACCAAAATGTCGAGTCGACGCGCTGCCAACTGACACAACCAAAAGTACTGAGTCGACGCACTGCCAACTAGTAAACCAAAATGCCGCGTCGACGCACTGCCAACTAACAGCCAATATCCAATGTCCAAAAACCCGAGCACAACTTGTCGACGCACTGCCAAGCAAGAAGTGTGGAACCAAAGTTCTCAAGTCGACGCACTGCCAACTGACCAAAACAACCCGAGCACAACTAGTCGACGCACTGCCAAGCTAGAGGTGTGGAACGATCTCAACAAAGCCCTAAGGCGATGACACTAAATGCCGCGACAATACCAGATGCGGCGAATCCGACTTTCTGATATCTCAAAACTCAAAACTCAAATCACAGTAGCTACAAGTGCTCAGGGAGCAACTCGTCGCGACCGGGCAGGGGTAGCAGAACTTCTTAGGGTGGAATCACGCGGCACGCAAATTGTACAAAACAATCTGAAATGAGAGTGATTCACAGTCCGGGGAAAAGCTTTTTAATACAAAGAGACGACGTGCTACTTATACTGTCTACGACGCTGCTTAGTAAAGTCCTGTACAACTGCATAGTAGCTACGCTATCTAAGATCGGTTGCCTTTTAGGGTAATTGAAAAGTTGAACGATCGGACAGGTCCTGAGTGATCAGGACCCCGCCCCATTGTCCATATGATACTTTTGATGTGGGCCAACTCACCGCGTCATACTTTTGGAATACGACGTGCTGGATTGGCCAACGGGTATGTCTTGGCATGTGAGACCAACGTGGGCGCCCCAAGAAGCCGTATGGCTCAAGGCACGCCAATTGTCTCCCACATGGCTCGGTTCACGGATCTAGCCGTATCGATTTTAGTGTGTTTGAGTATGGGCGCGACTCGCCGTGACACTTGGAAGTGTCACCGCGACGCGTCCACAATGTCCCGTGATCGAATGGATCCTGACATGTGACAAGTCGTCGTCGTGGCATGATCTGAGGAAACGTCCAACTCAAAACCGGGAGTTGCCGCGACAAGATGGTTTAAGTCTTGTAACGCCAAGTCCTGTCCAGTAGTAGTTCTATTATTGAGAACGTCGCGCATTGCTCAGCCCTTCAGCCCAAGTTCCCATCTGCAGAGAATGACCCTTTTTGAGAAGTCGACGCAATGACAGATCCCTTTTTGGGGAATGGTCGCGGTCCAAGCGTTCGTCACTAATGGCCCTGAGCCTGGTGTAGACTCATAAGACCAGTTCCACAGTAGTGGTCTGACTGCCTTGCTATCGTCGACACTATCCACAGTCGTCGACTGGGCAGTAGACCCATAAGTCCTACTGAGCGCAACACTGTTAACCGCGACACGATACACCGAGTGGTTCAAGAGTAAACTCTGTAAAAAGCGCAAAAATACGCCCTTACAGAGCTGGTGCAGAGCGCGTCTGGTAGCCAGCCTATCACCGTACGTTGTTGTATCCCCACCGGATGTCAAGTTTTGTGAAGAACTTGGCGCCGCATAGATTATGGACCAATTCGGAGATCAGCGGCAGCGGGTATCGATTCCGGATTGTCATCTCATTCAGCTTTCGATAATCTTGGACGGGGCGTAGGGAGCCATCCTTTTTCTTGACAAAGAAGAATGCTGATGCCATGGGTGATTTTGATGGCCTGATCCGTCCGCTGGCTAGATTCTCTTGTAAGAACTCGTCGAGTTTGACCTGTTCGTTTCGTGATAGCGGGTAAACCTTGCAGTCCACTGCTTTGGATCCTGGTTTGAGTTCGATTGCGTGGTCCCAGGTTCGTCGGTCCGGTAGTGAGTCGAATGATTCCTTGGCAAATACTTTGACGAATTCCCGGTATTGATCCGGAATCTTCCCTTCGGTCATCCTCTCCTTCTCTTTTTCCGCTTCTTCTGCGAATTTCTGCGCCGGCGTTTCCTTCAGCCGCAGATCCACTTCCTTCCCAAAATCGACCAACAGGATCGATTCTCCCTCTTCCAGATCCGGTGTGCCCGTGTCCAGGTCGATTGCATCCATGTCAATCATTGCTTGGTGTTCCTTGTGACCCCTCATGTGACACAGTTCTGGGCATCGGCTGAATCTCATCGTCTGCTCCTGCCAATCCACCTCCGGGTTGTGTTCCATCAGCCAATCAAGACCAATGAAGATCCGGGCCTTCCCTAGGCACGTCAGAAGGAACGTGCGTGTCTCCACATGAGGACCGATTTTCATCCTTAGCTCAACGTAATGCGTGATCCGACCGCTGATGTTCTCGGTGTTGTCGGCGTTACGAGCCACAATGGGTTGCGGAAGCTCTTGGATATCCAGCTTCTCTGCCCGCGCGTAGTCGGTATCGATGCAGCAGGTACTGCAGCCACAATCGAGCAGCGCCTTGACTCTGCGCGTTTTTCCTGAGTCCAGACCCGTGATCTGAACATATACGTCCATTGAATGCCTCTTTCTTTCGGCCTGGTAACTGCGCAATTCCTGTGCCAACTTGCTGGGCTGGGGGCCTTTCTGTTTCTCGGCCGCCAATTTCCTCTGGACAGCATCTGGCACCCTGGTGCGTTTGGGTGCTTCTGGAACCTTGATTTCGGCAGATTCCTTAGGCGCTTCCTCCTTTTCCAAGGATTGAGCCTCCGGAGTGATGCTCCCCTTTTCGGTCTTTGTTGACGTGGTTCCTTCTCCACGAGCCATAAATACGTAGGAGTCCAAAATTAATTTATCTGCAGCTTTCTGATCCTTTTTACTCTGTAAATATTCCCTATTTAAAGCTATTTTTCTTTGGCGTTCTTTTTCCATATCAGCAATGAGAAAATCGTGAATATTGGTACGTAGTGAGTCCGAGATTGTGTATGTATGTGCAGAATCGTTCATGTCTTTAATTGAAACAAGTATAGAAAATCGTCCATAGTCCGGACGCTCCACCTCCTTGGCTAGAGGAGTGGAGCGCTTCAAAAACCCTTCTCGCGCAGCTTCTCGGCAATCTCCTTGAGGAACTCGTTGTCTTTGTCCCCGTTCTCGATCTCTTCGAGCATCGTGGCCCGATTGAAGAATGTGCGCTTCTTCCTTGGTTCCGCGCAATTCCGCGCAATGTGTCCAGGCTGCTGACAGTTGTAGCAGATGATATTGCGGCCACGGGCGTGGGTGCGATCGATTTCCATCGGAACCGGTTCGTTGGCAGCGGGTCGGGCCGGGGCGGGTGCAGGTGTCATTGGGGCTACCTGCGGGCGGAATTGGGGAGGCGGTCGTGGTGCGGATTGCGCATGCGATGCTTTGCGCAGCTGATCGCGTAGAGCGTTTGCCTCGATGTTGACACACCAGTTCTTGAAGGCACCATATGCCTTGGGCAGGGGAACGCCAGTGTTGTAGAGGCGGCTGTAAGGGCAACTCCTGCCAGCCCGAAGGAAGAGAGCACACAGCACACAACAACCTCACATGAGTCTGAGCACAGAGGGGGATCCTTAGAGACTATCAAATACAAGGGAGGTATACTACTCACCTGAGCACAGAGGGGGATCCTTAGAGAACGGTTCAAGGATCCATGTGCCCAGGTGTCACACTATATAGTCAGCTGTGACAAGTGACTGATGATGATGGGATATCACTGCCATGGAACAATGGCAGATGACAAGTAGATAATGACAAACCCAGATAAGATAGTGAGTGGCTCAGAGGGGCCAGTGATGGCCAGCTCCTGAGACACCAACAGTGGAAGGCCACACTGGAGGAGCCCAGCGGCCAGGCCAGTGCCGGGCCGGCCAGTGGAGACATTGGAGGCGAGGACCAATGCCCAACTGGGAAGAGGGGTGGTGCGGATGAGCGCAAGGGCATCTGGTACGAGCCTGTACGGCAGTAGACCACATCCGCGGGGAGAAGGCCGAAGTGAAGGGGGAGGAGTGCATACGGCAGTAGCACTCCCTGGTGCAAGGAATCGGGCTCGGCTAGACCGCTTGCGGGGATTCAAGGGAGATGGCCAGGGGAAGAAGGGAGAGGGCGGATGTCGGCATGGATGGAGATGAGGATCGGAGGAGGAGGAGGAGGAGGCTGGGTGATCGACAGGTGAGCAGGCACGGGTCGGCAGAGAGGGTGCAGTGGGTCACGTGCATGGTCACGTGCCCAAGGAGCGCGGCGTCCCCTGACAGCGGCTTGCAATTTCGCTGCTGAGTCCGCGCTCCAGGAACTCGATGAGGATATTGTCCTGTTCTCCCTTCTTGTACTCGCCCTTGCTGTCGGTGGAGGTGACCACGTTGTACCCCGCGTCTGCAGCCAGCATTTCGAAGTCGGAGATGTAGTCCGCTGATAGGCTGGCTACCAGACGCGCTCTGCACCAACTCTGTAAGGGCGTATTTTTGCGCTTTTTACAGAGTTTACTCTCGAACCACTCGGTGTATCGTGTTGCGGGTGACAGTGTTGCGCTCAGTAGGACTTAAGGGTCTACTGTCCAGTCGACGACTGTGGATAGTGTCGATGATAGCAAGGCAGTCAGACCACTACTGTGGAACTGGCCTTATGAGTCTATACCAGGCTCAGGGCTATTAGTGACAAACGCTTGGACCGCGACCATTCCCCAAAAAGGGATCTGTCGTTGCGTCGACTTCTCAAAAAGGGTCATTCTCTGCAGATGGATACTTGGGCTGAAGGGCTGAGCAATGTACGACGTTCTCAATAATACGACTACTACTGGACAGGACTTGGCGTTACGAGATTGAACCAATCTTGTCGCGGCAACTCCCGGTCTTGAGTTGGACGTTTCCTCAGATCATGCCACGACGATGACTTGTCACATGTCAGGATCCATTCGATCACGGGACATTGTGGACGCGTCGCGGTGACACTTCCAAGTGTCACGGCGAGTCGCGCCCATACTCAAACACACTAAAATCGATACGGCTAGATCCGTGAACCGAGCCATGTGGGAGACGATTGGCGTGCCTCGAGCCATACGGCTTCTTGGGGCGCCCACGTTGGTCTCACATGCCAAGACATACCCGTTGGCCAATCCAGCACGTCGTATTCCAAAAGTATGACGCGGTGGGTTGACCCACATCAAAAGTATCATATGGACTATGGGGCGGGGTCCTGATCACTCAGGTCCTGTCCGATCGTTCAACTTTTCAATTACCCTAAAAGGCAACCGATCTTAGATAGCGTAGCTACTATGCAGTTGTACAGGACTTTACTAAGCATCGTTGTAGACAGTATAAGTAGGATGTCGTTTTCTTTGTATGGGAAGCTTTTCCCCGGACTGTGAATCACTCTCATTTCAGATTGTTTTGTACAATTTGCGTGCCGCGTGATTCCACCCTAATAAGTTCTGCTACCCCTGCCCGGTCGCGACGAGTTGCTCCCTGAGCACTTGTAGCTACTGTGATTTGAGTTTGAGTTGAGACATCAGAAAGTCGGATTCGCCGCATCTGGTTTAGTCGCGGCTGTAAGGGCAACTCCTGCCAGCCCGAAGGAAGAGAGCACACAGCACACAACAACCTCACATGAGTCTGAGCACAGAGGGGGATCCTTAGAGACTATCAAATACAAGGGAGGTATACTACTCACCTGAGCACAGAGGGGGATCCTTAGAGAACGGTTCAAGGATCCATGTGCCCAGGTGTCACACTATATAGTCAGCTGTGACAAGTGACTGATGATGATGGGATATCACTGCCATGGAACAATGGCAGATGACAAGTAGATAATGACAAACCCAGATAAGATAGTGAGTGGCTCAGAGGGGCCAGTGATGGCCAGCTCCTGAGACACCAACAGTGGAAGGCCACACTGGAGGAGCCCAGCGGCCAGGCCAGTGCCGGGCCGGCCAGTGGAGACATTGGAGGCGAGGACCAATGCCCAACTGGGAAGAGGGGTGGTGCGGATGAGCGCAAGGGCATCTGGTACGAGCCTGTACGGCAGTAGACCACATCCGCGGGGAGAAGGCCGAAGTGAAGGGGGAGGAGTGCATACGGCAGTAGCACTCCCTGGTGCAAGGAATCGGGCTCGGCTAGACCGCTTGCGGGGATTCAAGGGAGATGGCCAGGGGAAGAAGGGAGAGGGCGGATGTCGGCATGGATGGAGATGAGGATCGGAGGAGGAGGAGGAGGAGGCTGGGTGATCGACAGGTGAGCAGGCACGGGTCGGCAGAGAGGGTGCAGTGGGTCACGTGCATGGTCACGTGCCCAAGGAGCGCAGCGTCCCCTGACAGCGGCATTTAGTGTCGTCGCCTTCGGGCTTTGTTGAGATCGTTCCACACCTCTAGCTTGGCAGTGCGTTGACTAGTTGTGCTCGGGTTGTTTTGGTCAGTCGGCAGTGCGTTGACTTGAGAACTTTGGTTCCACACTTCTTGCTTGGCAGTGCGTCGACAAGTTGTGCTCGGGTTTTGGACACTGGATATTGGCTGTTAGTTGGCAGTGCGTCGACGCGGCATTTTGGTTTACTAGTTGGCAGTGCGTCGACTCAGTACTTTTGGTTGTGTCAGTTGGCAGTGCGTCGACTTGACATTTTGGTTCTACCAGTTGGCAGTGCGTCGACTCAGTATATTGGTTGTATCGGTTGGCAGTGCATCGACTTGATACTTGGGCTTTGCGTCGCCATCTGGACGCTGTCGCTACAAGGGATCTTAATACTCCGTATTAAGTTCTGACTTGTTATATTGTTGGCTGTGGATTGGATTAGTGTTGGTTGTGTTCGTATAGAAGATATTGGTTGAGACAGCATTGTTTACTATATATAAATTCTTGTCGTCGACTTCGTCTTCCGCGACTGTTGATCTGCGTCTATTGAGAGTTGTGATACTGGTGTTCTGTTCACCCCGAAGCCCTCGCATCTTTCACACACTGAGAAGCTGATTACGAGGAGTGTGAACGTGTTTATATTTGGGTTTACTTTCATAGTAGATTCACTTGTGAGCACGCCCTCAGCATTTCACCGCAAAGGACCGTCTGCCCTGGCGAAGGGCCATGAGTCGGGCGGCAGCGACTTGCTCTGCGTTAGAATCCCCAAAGGCCCTCTGAAGCTCCTCCAAGAAGCTTGTCGCGGTGACTCCCGCCTTTAGTCCTTGGAAGCCCTCGAAATTGTGCTGCTTCCAGTTCATCGCCCATCTTGAGGCGGCGCAGCTTGTGCCGCTCTCATTGCGGAGGTAGGACAGGACGAAGAGGATTTTCGTCTCGTCCAGCGAGAACTCTGACTGATAGGCACCGATGTAAGTGGTGCACGCATCCACAAAGCCCAGGTACTTGGACTTGTCGCCATCGAAGTAGGGGGGATTGGCGGCGAGGGTGATGTGGTGATGTCCTGACATGGTAGGAGCAGGTGCGGTAGGTGGGGGCGAGGGTGGTTGTTCGGAGGGTAACTCGCCAAGGTCGGGGAACTCGTCTTCAGGCGGCGGAAGGGCGAGGTAGGGGTTGGAGGGCCCGGGTTGGTTTTGATGCGCCAGATCGGGCGACGATGGTGTGATGGGGGGAGGGGATGGACTCCCAGATGACGATGGGAATCGGTACGAAATGGTGGATTCGTGTGCTGTACAAGCACTCGAGGAAAGGTTCTTTTGCTAGCAAAAAGATCCCGGGCCTAGCTCTTCACGTGCCCGATGATCCCGAGGTGCGTTTTCCCGAAGGTCTCCGCAGCACTCCTTGTAGCTACCGTAAGGCTTGGGTCGGGCTCAACGTTACCCGTGGCCTGGTGCTGTTTGCTCGATATGAACCTTTCACTGCGATCGCAGCGAGCGACTAGATGATTCGGTAAAAGGGTGAGTGGGATGATAAAGGTGAAGAGGATATAGCGGGCGTAGCGGTGCAGGGAGCAGGGTAGGAGGTAGGAGGTACGAGGGTATGAGGGGAGTCTTCGAATTATGTGACAATCAACAAGAAATAATGTCGAAAAGAGAAGTGAATTCGAAGACTGGAGAATACAACCAAGTAGCTACAGTATTTATACCCAAGTCCAGTCTGAGTCATATCTACAACTAATGAGTCATGAGACTATGTACCGCATGGAACGCTGGTCATGGGTTGTAGTAGAACCTTCCGGAGCATATGTTGCACAGCCTCGAATCGATAGAGATAATCCCTGGAATCCCCTAGTCCAGACTGTCTGATGCCGTGATCCGTGATAAGATAATCCGTGCTGAGATAAGATAAGATCGTCGAAGATAAGATAAAAAGTGGCCGAATTATGACATTCAGCCCATTCTCAACCGGTACAAAGCAACTGCCGAAGCTTCCAGACTCACCGTTCAGTCTCTGCACAAGGTTGGTCGTCTTCAAGTTCCGCCCCATCTATTCATCCCTGCGCAGCAGCCTGAATATCCTGATCAAACTCACGGTCCGTGTATGCCCTTATCTTGATAGATGGCCTGATCATGGCCTTGTCGAAAAGTGTCCACAAGCGTAAGGTGTGTTCCGAGTGGCCGTGAAAACCGATGTGTATTCAAACCCTCGTGTCTACGCAGGGTGGAACGCTCTCGAGTGTTGTTACTACCGCAGTATGAGGGCTAAAATCAATGAGGTGAGAGCTGCTGATGTGAAGGCTTCGCTCCGGTGGAGTTCCACCCCAGATGCCACCGCCATCATTACATAATAGACCCCGCAGGTACCTACTGGGTACCCATAGACGTAGCTCTATGGGTACCCAGTAGGTACCCCCCCCCGCGGCGGGGGCGCAGGGGGCAGGGTCATACAGGGGTCAGGGGGGGGATAATACATATCATGTGATTTATCCTGTAGATCAGGCAGCTGGATGGGAGAAAAAATGGAATCATGTGAGGCATCAAATGGGCAGGGGATAGCGGGATAAAAAAAATCACGTGATCAAACACATGAGATTTCAAAAATGTTGGCGGGGTTGGTGGGGGTGTTGGCGGGGTCACTACCGCCCCCTCCCGCACACCAGGGCGGACAGTGGGCGCATTATCACGTGACTTTTTGGAGACTTTTTTTTTTGCACTGTTTAGCATGGTTTCTGTTGTCCTCCTAATACATTGTATGTTGTAGCCGGTTGGTAGGCAGATGATCACGTGACTTTTCACAAATAAAACAAAAAAGCAGCTCCAAATCATCCCACTGGGATTTCAATAGCTGGGTTCAATTTTAACCATACATTTGAGCTTGAAAACCCAAAATTGTGAATCCAATCCTGGTGGTGGCTTGGGCGGGGTTGATTGCGGGGGTGCATAAACCTCTGCCCACCGCCGCCATCACCCCTGCCACAACCCCTGCCATCACCCCCACTGCAACCCCCGCCATCACCCCTGCCATCACCCCCACCGAAAGGCCCCCCGTAAGTCCAAGATCCGGATTCCGCTGTAGCGGTTCCGGCCATTCACAGCATCTAATGGTTGGTCAGGTGGTCACGAGCCTCGGGAACAGCCTTGCACTGCAACAACCGGAGCGAGACCATCACATTCGCTGTGGCTGTATGAAACAAGGCTAATTTTCGGCTTGGCAAGAGCAGTGATTCGTCGGCGCGCGATTCAGGCCGCGTGATACGGGACTCTTTTTGTGGTGCGAAATCCAGTAGATTTTGTTTGTCACGCGCATTCAGGCTACCAAACATCTCCCACCGAGTGCCAATGCTCATGGCACGCGGAATTCAATGGTGAGACACCAGCCTCCTTGTTGGCAGGGTTGCCGCCACTGGGAAGGACCTACCGAATGTACCTGGTGAGCACCATGTGCTCCTCATTGATGTGCACGGGCGACGTCTAAGCAAGGACCCAAGAACGGGAGAACGAGGACAGGATGTCGAATGGGCGGGCCCCGCTCCGGGTACGCCGTGTAGTGATGTATTGATGCGAGGTGTCCAAACCAAGGTTCAGGTGAGGCTGGGAATGTGGAGAAATGAGCGAGAGGACTCCTGCGGCGTCTGTCTGGACCGCGGAATACTGGATCGATGAGGTAAACGATGTGAGGCCGGAGTCAAGGACTCCTCGAAATGAGCTATGGAGGGGGTGATATATTCTTATTCTCGTATCTACAGTCCTGTACTTATATACTACCATAAGCGATGGCTCTGGAATATTCTGTAAGTAATGTGAAATGGCGGAGAAATCGCCAGAAAACCGCGGCCGATGAGCTTAATCCTGATGTCGGTGGATGCGCCGCGGCCGCTGATGATGGGTGGCAGTGTCCGTGTACAGCCGCTGATCATGCTCAACATCTCCTCCCTGCTGAAATCATGACCGTCCTCGGTCATCCGCTCACTCGCGCCTTATGGTCTGCCGGGATGGACTTGGATAGAGTTTTTCGTGCGTCCTCCCTACTGAAATCGGGATCGTGGGCCGCTAACCATCTTTTTCATCATCCTGGTCTGGTAACTCTTCGTCTCCTGTTTCGTCGTCCTCTGGGTCTTCGAGCAGCGACTCTTCTAGCTCACGCAAGCACTTGGTCGAAATATCGTGGAGGTCTTTGATGGGTGGGAGGTTGATGGCCTTTCGCGCAAAGTACGGAACCACACGGAACGCGGCAATAGGGCGATGCAGGACTGAGCCGTCGAGCTCGCAGAGGATGTACGCGCCGCCACGGTTTCGTGAGATGACGACGAGGGGACCCAGGTAGCGTTTTCGCATCTTCCTGTTCAGCGACTTCTCAATGGCCGTATTTCTCATCAGGACTAGATCTCCACGCTTGAAGTCGAAGTCGCGCATAGTGGATGCGTGCTCCTGCTCGAAACGGGCCGCTGCACGGAGCCTGGCTCCGTATACGTCGGAGTGGAGCTGGGATAGGTGGGATCGACGCTTCTGCAGGGCGATAGCATGGCGGGCAATGAGCTCCGTGGTGGAGAGGACGGATTCGGGTGGAGGGAGCAAGTACGTGGCCTCAAAGGTGTCGAGTGGGACTAACGGATGGGTTCCTGTAACAGCGAAGTATGGCGAGCATCCCATCCGTCGTCGGACGGTGATACGGTCTGCCCAGAAGACAGAGTATGCGGCGCTATGCCACTTCGATTGGTTTCCATCGGCGGCTTTGAAGAGCGCTTGTCGGACATCAAAATGCGGTCGCTCAGCAAGGTTGGCTTGGGAATTGTACCCGGATATCCGGATGTGTTGGATCCCGTATTGTTTCTCGAGCTGCGTGAGGGCTTTTACGAACGGCGTACCATTATCTGACACAATTTCACAGAGCGTGCCCCATCGGCAGAGCAAGTCTTCGAAGATCCACAATGCCAGCGCCTTGGCATTTTCACGGCGGAGCATACGGAATTCGGGGTAGTGGGTGAGTGAACAACGGGCCTGCACAATGTATCAGAAACCTCCGCTCGTTGGGAGATGCATGGTGTCCATGTACACCTTAGCAAAGAGCGGCGCTGGGACTGCGACAGTCGGTGGTATGGTGACTTTCCGTATCTGTCTTTGCTGACATAGATCGCAGGTTCGAACGTACCAAGCGATGTCATGGGCCATATGTGGCCACCAGAACCGCTCGGCAATGAGGGCGCGGGTCGCATAGAAGCCTTTATGACAGGCATCATCGTGTGCTGCTCGGAGGATGGGCAGGCGGCGTTCCATGGGGACTACAAGTTTGTGCCGACCATCGGGGTGTTTTCGCCATAGCTTTTCTTCCTTCAGGTAGAACTCCATTGCGTATCGGACAAAGGACTGATACTCCACGTCCGATAGGTCACGGGGTCTTCCAAGCGTATTGAGCCAAAGGCGGACTCGGTCAACGCGGTAGTCGGCAAGCCGGTCAGACTCGGTGCGAGGTACGGCATCGTAGGAGATAGAAGGCGGGGGCTCAATATCTGCAGGTGCGCTGTCGGCTGTGAAAGTGGCAATGACTTGCTGAGGGCGACGAGCATAGGGTGCCCCATTGACCATGTGCATAAGGCCGTGCACTTGGTCAATCCAATCATCGAAGTCATCTTCTGGTTCTGGTATGTCGTCTGGGTGCGGAGGACGTCGGGAGAGACCGTCAGGGCGGTGCGAGATGCCGGGAACATGAACAAGCGTGAAATGAAAGGTGAGAATTGCCAGTATCTATTGGTTAATGGACGCTGATGGGGCTAAATCGGGGTTGGCAAGCATGCCTTTGATGTAACGGGCGTCTACCTCGACTACTAGGTTGCGGACGCCAATGATATGGAGTTTCCACAAACGGAGCGCACGGTACAGGCCATAAAGCTCGAGCTTTGCCTGTGAGAAGCGGGCCTCGCGATCGTTCAAGGTGATGGAGCCAAACCGGGCGTAGAAGCGGCGGGCCAGGAGTTTGGGATCGCACTGGGCCAGCAGAAAGCCGACTGCGATGTAGGATGTGTCAACTGAGAGAATGACGGGGGCATGGGAATGATAGTCAATGGGTCGGAGGGCTGGTGAACGAAGGAGTGCGTGTTTTAGATCAGCTTGAGCTGCGATCTGTTCTGGACCAAAAACAAAGGGGGCATCTTTCCGGGTGAGTTGTACGAGCGGATAGGCGCGTTTTGCGAAATTTCTGATGAACATTCGTGCCACTCCAACCGTGCCGAGGAACGCCCGAATGTCCGACAAGTTATTACATGGTCCCCAATTAGCAATCTTCGCCACACGGCTTGGGTCGGGGATGCGTCCGGCTGGGGTACAGACGTGTCCCAGGACAGTGATCTGTTCTGCACACAAGATGGCTTTGGGACCAGAAATGGTGCCACCGCAATATTTCATTCTCTGAACGATCCGATTCAGATTCTGAAAATGTTCCCAGATGAAACGGCGTATGCCAGCGTTCTCTTGGATGGTTTCATAGGAGCCATTAGCGAGGCGATAGCACGACTCGGGGCCTCGAGCAGGGACATCGTCAATATACGGGATTGTGAACTCTGGGATCTCTGGCTGGAGGATGAATGTGACGTCATCGTGGAAGATGGGGACCGAATTTGACCACCCCATAGGCAAGGTCGTAAGCCGCTGTGCTCCAAAGGGGGTCTGGAACGTGGTGAGATCTTGTGAGGACTCCGCGAGTACTCGCTCATCATAGCCGACATAGAGATCCAGGATACCGCCGCAGGCGCGGCCTGCGAACTGCTCGGCCAGCTGATCTGTCAATGGGGGCACGCCGGAGTGCTGAATGGTAACGGCGTTGAGCGGCTCGAGGCTGTGGACAAGGCGCAAGCTGGTGCCATCTTTCTTGACGACACAGAACCAACGGGAGCGATATGAGGAGTTTGAAGGTTCGTACACCCCCGCGGCCATCTTCTTGCGAATCAGCTCGCAGACTTGGTCGTAGATACCAGGTGGGATTGGTATGTTGCGTTGAACCCATGGAACGTGCTGAATGACGGGAATGTTGACAGGTTTGAAGAAGTCCGATCGGAATTTTCCTCGTTCGAGGTCGGTCCAGGCGAAGCCATCCTGATGTATCGACATGAAATGGTGCATCAAGCGACGCTCCTCTGGCCATAGAAATCCCTTGGGATGAAGGGAGTCAATGATGTCGCGTCGTTCAGTGGTGTAACGACCAATGGGAAGGAACGGGGGAGGAATCGGGGCAAGAGTTGGAAGGGTGTCAAGTGGGTCGCCGTGAATCTCCCTGACAATTCGAAACTGCTCAGGGAGACTCCCTAGGACCGGTCGGATCTTGCGCGCTACTGGTTTGTAATTTTTCTTGAAGACGTCGACTCGCCACGCGGAATACAGGTTAGAAAGTGATGTAGATTGTTTGTAGATTGGAATAGAGGCTGCGGGTTTGATAGGGGGGATCGAGGAAGGGCAACAGCAAGTTGAATCGCTGATGCTCATTTTTCGAGACGCCGGTTGAACGTTGGAGTGCGAGTGGAAGTAGGTACTGTATGGGGCTGGGAGGCTTGTACATGCCGATAGGTAGATAGTCTGCAAAGTATCAGTAGTATGTGGTAAATGAGTGGGAAATGTAGCATAGGACTGAATGGAATATGTGTCGGGGCTCGCATCGTCGGCTACGATGATCAGCGCAAGCTGCTCCTGATCGGAGATCAGATCATCTAGCCGCGAAAACCCTGCTCGGGATGGCAGCGCGGACGTAGCTGTCCACGGGGAACGGTCGGAATGGTCGCAATTTTGCCGGTGTTGGGGTCTCGTATAGTTACGGTCTGATTCTCGTCTGCATAGTTTTGGATGACACTTTCTGTCAAGACGTCGAAGGGCCGGCCAAGGAGAATGTCGTAAGCAGGATTACGGACCACGTGCACCTGGAGGTACACCGTGATGTCGCCAAATGTGAATGGTACGTTCCTGGCCTGCCCAAGCGACGGCAATACTGACCCATTTGCCGACTGCATCTGCAGCACGATACGTGGGTCGTAGGCCAGGGCTAGCTCGTTTGACACTGCTTCCGACATCGCGACGATACCCGAGCCGCCATCGACAATACTTTTGACACGTTTGTGATTGTCAACGACTGGGAGGACAGAACGTATGGCGGAGGACTCGAGCGACACCACTAGGGCTTCCGGGATGGGCTCGCCATTGGAGTAATACGCTTCGTAGGGGTCTGGGACGATGAAGGCGTCGGGTGGGAGCTGGGTGGCAGAATTGGCAAAGGTCGCTGGCATCGAGTCGAGGAACCTGGCGCTGCGTGCGTCGCGCTCTTTCTGCTCTTCGAGAGACTCGAGGGCTTCTGCATCTACCGGGATCGCTGCGCTCACCATTAGCTGGGGCGCCGTTGTAACTGTTTTGCCTTGCGCGACTACTGGGGCGGTGCGTCGACTCGTGGTTGCGTCTCGGACTTGGGCCCGTACTTCTGGCGACAGGGAGAGGAGCTCTTGGTGGGTCAGGGTGATAGGCGCGTCCATGGACCGGTCGAAAACCTTGGAGGCAATCTTTTCGTCGAAAATGGGTGCAGTTGTCCGGTACGCTGGGTCGCTTTTCTTTGCCGCGTGGACTGGAGGCTTGGCTCCAACGTTTCGGTCGCGTGGCGGGGCATAGGCGGCGTCGCGAATATGGGCGTAGGGGTGTTCAGGTGAGTTCTCTTTTGTGGGCCGTGTCATGATACTGGGCGGAACGGCAGGGGCAATGGGAGGCGCTGGAGGCGTTGGAGGCGGTACCGACGCGCGTACCGGTTGTTCTGGTTCCTCGACCGATTCTCCGGATGCGCCGGCGGCAAGAGCGCGTCGTGCCTGGGCGCGCGTGCGGATTGCAAAGATCTCCTTCTCCAGACTCGCAAGGCGCTCTTCTTCGGACAGGACGAATTTGGCAGCGGGATTGGACTGGGAAGACGCAGGATACGACGACGACAGGTGCGTGGGCACTTCGAGCATCATCTGACCGGCGGCTAGCTGACCAGGGTTTTGTTTGTGCCATTCCTTGATACGGGCTCTGAGATTGACACCGGGGATTCTGCGGGGAACAAACGCGCCGGTAGGGAGCACCACACGTCCGTCTATATCACGCTTACATTTTCCCGCTTTCGTGTCTTCTTCAACGAGTGGGCAGCGGCTGATGTAATGGTCACCACCACAATAAACGCACTGATCACCTTCTCGTCGGGGTGCCGATGGGCTGGCTGGCAACGGGCTCGCATATGGACGACTTGGCTGCTGCTGCTGCGCTAGCAAGACCTTCATTAGACCATTCATGGTCTCCAGCAGCGCGCCAAAGTCGGGCTCGGATTTGACGGCGGGAGAACTGGTCGATTGGGAGGGCGGTACTGACGATGGGGGCGGCGCGTTGAGCGTGACAGGACCGGCCAGGACGAATTCGACTGCTTCGGTGAGATCCGCGAGGTTGTATGGGTCGTCGGGGTGATTATCTGGACGTTTGATCTGCAAGCGCTGTGATACACGAGTCCAGAGGGTGGGCGGGGAGATGGCACGGCAGAAGAACGACTTTGTTCAGCAGTCGAGAGGCGCCCTTTTGAGATCAGGTACGTCGTGATCGTGATGAATCGTCTATAGAACTCGCTGTAGTCTGACAGCGACAGGATGCCAGACGTTGCGTATTCGCCGATCAGCGAATGGAGATCCGACATCGTATACTTTCGATCAGAGTCTGTGCCGGGATAGAGCTTCAAGACGGCCTTTTTGAAGTCGGCGTAGGTGGTTGTGACGGACGTGAACTCGGTGAGTGATTCCCAGGTGTCCTGGTCGTCAACGCTGACGTATCTCGTCGCATGCTTCTTCTTTTCCGTCTCATCAGTGACCCCGACTCGAGCGAACTCTAGCTCCAGGTCACTGAAGTATCGGGGCAACTGGCGCGGTTTTGACGAATCAAACTCGGGGGCGCCACGGGCTCCTTGTGCGGGCATCTGTTGGGTTGCCATGATGGTTGGGGTCGGGGTATGAGATCGAGTGCGGGATGGGGACGGGAAGAGAAGGTCGAGCCGTGGGGAATCGGGTGAACGAGGGGATAGGTTGTTGTGCCGGGCAAGGTGGTCTGGAACGCGAACGAAGAGCTCTTCAGATGTGTCGGAGCCGGGATGGGTGGATGTGTCGAGTAGATCGCGTGGGTTTTGCTGGATAGCACGGAATTCTGCACGTAGATCTTGTCACCTTGGACACCCCATAATTGTACCTCGAGAGGTACCTTTTTGAGGCCCAAAAAAGGTACCTCAGTGGTAGTGGGCGGCCGTGGGCTGGGCGGCAGCCGGGCGCCCCCCAATGCTCTGGGGGGCCCCAGCTACATTTTTGTGGGCGTCCAGCGGGCGTCCTTGGGCGGGCATGTGGGCGGGCCCATGGCTCCTGGGGTCCTTGTAGCGCGCGCAGCGCCAGAAAAATTTCCGTTTTTTGACCTATTTGGGAAGTTAAAGTCAAGTATATATTTGCAATCTATTCGATAATACAGGCGTACAATGTACATAGGAGCTAGATTTATCCTTTGCAGTCTAATCAATAATACGGGTGAGTGTATGCAATAATATTGATTTGACGCACGCAAAAATCCTTATTGCTTTTGTCATGGATATATAAAATCACCAGTTCGTAGGCTTATGACTTAAAATCACTATCTTGTAGGCTTATGACTTGGATCACGTGCAACATTTTTCTCATACCTCTTTTGAACCTAGATTGATTTATTCTCAGTGACCGCGGCGATTGCCGGCGCGGGACCACTCCATGTGACTTTATGACGCCTAGGAAACTATGTATGGGGCCGCCCACTGATGTGTGGGGCCGCCCACCGATGTGTGGGGCCGCCCACCGATGTGTGGGGCCGCCCACTGATGTGTGGGGCCGCCCACTGATGTATGGGGCCGCCCGCCAATTGCCAAGAGAAATATGGGCCCGCCCGCAGAATTGTGGGACCGCCCGCCAATTGCCAAGAGAAATATGGGCCCGCCCGCAGAATTGTGGGACCGCCCGCCAATTGCCAAGAGAAAAATGGGCCCGCCCATAGACGCTTAAACATCTGCCAAAAAATGACACAGATCCAGATATTCACCATCAAGGACTCACCACGTACAGGATTTGAGACAATTCTTTTTGAAAAAAGTTTACACAATTAACCTCTGCTCTGCCATGCAGGAAACAAAAACATTGCACAAGGTAAAGCTATGCGTAACAGAGTCATTAGGTCAAGAACTACAGTGTAGTAAATGTAAAACAAAGATAATTGTCCAGAAAACGCGTAAGAGGAATGTCGATCACAGTACTGTGCCGTAGCATCCGGTGTCAAGCAACTCCTTGTATAGTGTCTCGTGTAAGCCTCTGTGCCGGTCGGCAACAACCGGAAGGAGGCGGAGGTCTACGCTTTTCCACTGACCGTCCTGATCTATTTGCAATCCCCGACTGATGTAGTCGTCTACGATCATTGCGTCCCCTACACTCCGTCTGCGGAATCGTGTAACAAAGAACGTTTTGGATGACTGGTGTCCAAAGACGTAACGACAAATGCGCTCGCCCTCTCTGGGATCCTTCTCCAGCTGCTGCATCAGCAACTCCCTGTTGATCCGCTGACGTTTGCGCGGGGGCTCACTGCCATCCACGTCACTGTTGTTGAGATCATCAGCTAAGCTCGACGCCCGCAAATGTGAGAACTGGTCTGGAGTGGGTGAGCGAGCTGCCATTGGTCGCTTGCCCTCTCTCTTCTCGTTGGCGTCATTGATCTCCTTTTTGTAAGACGTGCAGTCCCGAACCCAGGCAATCTCGTTGTTATCCCCCAAACGCGTGGCCAACACAATGTTGGCCACCTCGTCTGGATTGTCTGCAGCCTCTTTCTCTTCTACATCAGGTATGAGTGGGCTGTTGACGAGCTGTTCTGTAGAACTGACCGTCCGTCCACTTCACGAAGTGGGGCGCTGTGCACGCAAGTCTCTCTTTGGCAGTCTTTTCTGCGATTGACTGCGCATCATCCTCTTGTAAGATTTTGTAGTCATCCGGTTTTGCACGCAACTCCATGCCGGGAAGCACCCGTTGTACCAAGTCCGCAGAGGGTTTCCAATTTGGCTGCGGCAGCTTGAAGCCATCCGGCCAATTGATAAGCCTCAGTTGATGGCGCCGGCAGAGGTTCAGGATATCCCAGCTCATCTTCTTCAGCTGGAACCCTCCCGAACGTTCTAGTTAACATCCATCAGAAGGCTCAAATACATCAAGAAACTGTACTTGCCCATAGCCATACGCAAAAGGTCTTGCACGCGAGCTCGTTCCATGCTTCGCTTATCTGCATACTGCTTGCCAGTTGCGCCCACCATCCCTCGCTCCGATTGATTGCGCATGATAGGAGCTCCTGAGTTCTTAGCCGTTGACGCCTGGGCAGTTGAAGCTATGGTCGTCTGCTCGGCCATTGGCACGTCTAGTGCACGTTCATCCATGTCCAGCTTTCTGCAAACCAGTTAGTATCACAGCGAAAGTGTCTGACCGATGCTTACCGCAGCATAGTCTCGTAGTCTCGCAATTGACAATCCACAGCCACTGGAAACGTCTTCATCAGTTGCAGGTACTCGGGTGATCCCCCCCATGCGCAACTGTGCTGCCCGTCTTCATCAATGATCACTCCGAAGGCATGCACGTTGAGTTGTCGATATGCTTTTGCTGACTGTGAACAGTTTAATACACTTATCTAGGAAAGAATCTGCATTACAGACCACACGAGTAAGGTTCTTGGCCACATCCGCCACTAAAGCGGGAAACTTTCCACTTCTTCTCGCATCGATTATCTTTTCCTCCGTGTGGATTGCATACCAATCAAGGACATCACTGAAATGCTCGTTGAGCACGTCGACATTGCTTTGCTGTTCCTGGCCCAACTGGGCCAAACGATCCTCGTACGCTTTGCTGACCTGCCTGTTCCAGACGCTGACGTGCACTGTCAGATTGGTGAGTCACAAGCGTTCACTGGTGGTAAGTAATCACTCACTATCGGCGGGCTTTTTACCTTTGTGTTGAGCCGAGTACCAAGTCTGGAACTTGTTCCACATGTGTTCCTTGGGACTTCGAGAATCCTCGTCGCCGCTCACGTTCTCCATCACTCTTTCCACCGGTACGTTGTACTTTTCCGATATCTTTTCTAGCTGCTTTTGCACTTCCAAAATTTCCACGTAATAGGCTTTCGGTGGACGGCCACCCTTGTCAGCCTCGGTGTTCGTACCAGACAGTGCACGACGACCCTTTTGGCTCATAGATTTAGGATTGCTGACGCTGACAGATCCGGTCTTCTCTGTGGTCGACACGTTTGATGTGCTTGTGGCGCCTAGCAGTGCAACGTCCTGAGCCACACGGTTTCGCAGCTCGTCACTCTGACTTCCGTCGCTCTCGACATTGCTGGAAGCTCGCCTCAGTCTTATGTCCCTCATCTTCTCCTCTTCACGCTCCCTGATCAATGCAGCGCGGAGTCGTTTTTGCTTCTCGGTTTCGAAGTCGTCGTCGTCGCCTTCACTCTCATACGGAGCTTCCGTTCCAGGGATCCGTCCACGATAACGCCCATTGCGGTCTGGATTGGAGCGTTGAACCATCGCCGCGTTTTCATCACAAGCCTCGTCATTGCTTCCAAGCAGGTTGTCTTCCTCGTCGGCGTGAGGGTCAAGGTATAGTTCTTGGAGCTCGTCCAGTGCCCACTCTGCCTCTCGTGAGACTGGCAGCTCGTCAAGTGATGGCAGATGTCGGGAACGTGGAGTAATCTCCCCCTCACTCTGCGTTGACAAAGTGCCAACTCGTGGACGAGCACGAGGTGTTCTCTGGTCTTCGAGATCCCTCGATGGTGTTTGCGGTGGCGTGGATACGCTGGAGGCGCGAGCTGATTGAGGTGTGGGTCGAACAGGGCTCAGGGACAAGACGTTCATGGCTAAACGCGATGCAGCGCTACCAAGCGTGTTAGGAGTGTTCGCCCACAGGTCTGCTCTTCCTTGAAGTCCGAGGAAGGCGGGCGTCATCTCCAGCAAGCTATCCGGAATGGGAGACGATGGCGGTAAGTGCTCCGCGTCATCGATACGTGTACTGGGCAAGGGAGACGAAAAGGGCGCAGGAGACGATGGCGGTAAGTGCTCCGCGTCATCGATACGTGTACTGGACGAGGGAGACGAAAAGGGCGCAGGAGACGATGGCGGTAAGTTCTCCGCGTCATCGATACGCGGACTTGGTGAGGGAGATGGTATCCGCGCCACAGACTCCCCTTGGCAGGCAGTCAGACTGTGCAGAATGTGTACTGATTCGGGCACAAACGTACTGAGCGTGATTGGGATGCCTGGATTCGTCGATTGTGCCGCTCTCTGTCGATCGATAAGATGTCGGGCGCACGGTGGAGAACAAGGTACAACCATCCGAGCCCTTTCCTCTCTTTTTCGGCGGCGCACATCCACAGCCGGTGTCTCTGGCTCAAGGGCTGGAGCAACAGAATTGGATCGCAGTGGTCGGGTTGGTGCGGCTGAAGATGTAGGCGGTTTCGCTGCAGACTTGGAGCGGGGAGGCATGTTGCTGGTAGTGGATCGAATTTGGAAGCGTGTAAGCTTGGAAGGATGCCCCAAATTCGGTCGAGTTCTGGGAGCATAAGGGGATGCAGGGGATCAGCTTCAAAGTCTTGACCTTGTCAACTGCTCAGTACTCACTGCCGACGCGTGTAGGATCTGC